GCTTTTTAGGAACTGAAAATGAGGAAGACGATTGGTGCTGGACGTGAAACAACGGGTTGTACTTGTTCAACACAGGTTGTACCAATCTTTTAAATGCATATGTAGCCACATCAGGTATTATGCGTTGGGCAGCGCATCGCAAATGCCCACATATGCGCTCTAGAGAGATGTGCCCATCTTATGCATATACGGCTGCATCCCGCATAAGGTGCATAATCCTGCACAAGTGGTCCGCCAATTTTATGAAAAATGAAGACCCTCGAAAAAGGGGAGAAAGGGTTTGGGGGGGTATTAAACCCCCAAACATCATTTTTCAGCCACATCCATGGCTTTTTTTTTATCGAATGAATAAAAAAAAAAACGTTTTGGCCAAAATTTAATTTTGTGAAGTTCTTTGATTTATGTATTGGTTGATGCTTGGTTGTTGATTTGTATCTTTTGGGTGTTGGTTTGAGGAAGTTTAGGCAAACTTGTGACAACAAATCGAAAGTGTTGTATTGACTCTTCTTGAGCTTGACTTTTGAACTCTTTAATCTTCATAGACCTTTTTTGTAGTATTTTGTAACTTTAAAGTTTGTGGTTGCAAATTTGTACCTATGGTTGTTGATTGTTGACTATTTTATGAAGCTATTTTCAAGTTTCTAGTTTCTATCAGGGGATAATGGATACAGAATCTCCGACAGCTAATACTTTTGGAGTTAATGATTAATTGAATACCTACTATCACATATATTACGTCCATTTTTTTTTCTATGCATTAACTTATTTTTTTCGATTTTTTAAGAAATTTTTATATTCATTGACTGCATCACGGCGATGCACCTGCATCCGGACCGCATCTCCGCATCGGCCCCCCCCCCCCACCCAATGCATACAGTCACATCACGCATTTTAAAACACTTGGATGTATTTCTACTGCTCTCAACTTTGAGTCTAGAAGTCATGAGCATGCCCTCTTGTGGCACACCCTCTTAGGTCATATATCTCTAAAATCTTTAAAGTTACTTTTCTAGATAAGCTTGTTTCTTTGGATATCCCTCAGTTACAATGTTAGATAAATCAATTGTTTAAATATTGTATAACCACTTTTTCTTCTAGTGAAAATAAAAAGTTCAAAATCATTCCATCATGTTCATTCTGATGTTTGGGGGCATGCTTATGTTATTTCTATGTTTGGATATAACTGTTTTGTCTCATTCATTGATGAATACTCTCGTTATACTTGGATCTATCTTACGAAAAGTAGAGATGAAGAACCTTTTTTTTAAAAAAAAAAGTTGACAATTAATATTATAGTAGTAAGGGTTTGTACAACAGCAAGGGTTGAGGTAACCCATAGACTGGGACTCTCAACCAAAAACTTGGTCACTTGGGAGTGACCTAATCTAGAATACTTGTTCTAACAAACCAGTGAGCCAAGAGAAAGGGGCTTATAAGAACTGCCCGTTACAAGGTAGAAGACAAGAGTCAAGAAGGAGGCAGCCTCCCCGCCAAGTTAGTGATTATATCTCCGTATTGTGCACATCTATACAGATGCAGAAGGCTGGTTCCTAGCAGCTTCCTTGGTGAGACGATCAGTGAAGTTGTTGGACGTCCTCCAAATATGCATCCATCAGACGTTTATACCCCTGTAAGTGTGCTCAATTTCATAAAAAATGTGTGCTTGGTACCAAGGAGGAGGGGCCCATAATATTACGTTTTTGGCATCTCCCTCTATGTGCATGCGTAGGCTCCAGGAGCGGTTAAATTTCTTGGTTCCCATCAATAAGGCCGTGGCCTCTGCAGACTGTGAGTCTTTGTGGCCAAGGTGTTCTGAGAATGATCGAATGACCACACCATTATGGTCACTGAATACCCCTCCCGCGTCTGCTGGGCCTGGATTTCCCAAGGAGCATCCATCGAAGTTGAACTTAATCTCACAAACCAGTGGAGGGTACCAGTGCAATACTCTTGGGTTGCGGCGAGGGGTAAGTTGAACGAGGTTCACCCAATTTCGAAGAAACGCGGCCGCCGAAGTCCCAGTAAACAGTTTGTGGTTGGTAGCCCAAAAGATAACCCTGGAGGTTACCCTATGGAACAAAACTGGGAGGTCGCTTTTGAGACCACGAAAAATTCTCAAATTTCTTTCTAGCCAGATTGAGATGAAGAACCTCCAATAGTAAAAATAATTCATAAAATGGTTCAGACCCAAATTGAGATCCGAATCATTCTAATAATGCACGAGAGCATCTAAATCATGGATTAAAGAATTATTTTCTTGAACATAGTATAAAAACTCAAACATCATGTTCTTGTACACCACAATAGAATGTGTGGCAGAACAGAAAAATACACACTTGTTAGACGTGGTGAAAAATAGACACTTGTTAAAAGTGACTCAAACATCATGTTCCTACGATCCTATCTTTATAGGAATGAAGGTCCCTAAGAAATATTGGGATGAAGCAGTTCTTACTGTTGCCTCTATGATCAATAGAATGCCAACACATGTTCTTGACGGTGCTTATTCTTTCAAACTTCTCCACCATACACTTACTCTTTTCCCTTCCATTGAAATTTTTGGGTTATGTTTGCTTTGTACATACAATGGGTCCAGCTAGGAATAAATTAGGACCTCAATCTACCAGATGTGTGTTCCTAAGATACTCAAACTTTTAGAAAGGATACAAGTGTTACTATCCAGAAACTAAAAGGAAATACGTCTCAAAAGATGTTACATTCTTTGGGAATAGACCCTATTTTTCTTTCCAAAGAGATTCGATATCCACTATACCACCCAACAATCCTATTCCTCTTCCAATGATCACAGATAGTTCCAATAATCCAACCAAGGAACATGTTGAATTTACTAAGAAACAATTGAAAGCGTACACCTAAAAAGGGAACAAGGGAAAGTCTAATGTAAATGATCAAACCCCAATTCGTTGACTCGTCAGGCACTTCTTCTCCTTATACCCCTATATCTTCTGAATTCAATTTACCAATTACCATAAGAAAAGAAAAAAGGGCTTATGCTTCCCATTCAATGAGTTTTTTATACTTTTTTTCACCTTCTTTTTGTGCATACCTTTGCTCTGCTTCCTCTATTTCTATTTCCACCATAGTTGCAAATGCATTGGCTCATCCACAATGGAAAGCAGCCATGGTTGAGGAAATGATTGACTTAGAGAAGTAGCGAACTTGGGATGAATGGATCGGCCAAAAGGACAACATGTGGTAGGATGCAAGTGGGTGTACACCCTGAAGAACAAATCAGATGGCTCAACTGAGAGATACAAAGCCCGTCTGGTGGCTAAGAGTTTTACACAGTTATATGGGCGACTTTTGCACCTATAGCAAAGTTGAAATCAGTACGGGTTGTTTTATGCATTGCAGCAAATACGAAATGGCCACAACACCGAGAAGACGTAAAGCATGCTTTTCTCCATGGAGATTTGCAAGAGGAAGTATATATGGAAATATCACCTATTTATCCTCAAGGGGAGCAAGGGACGTCTGCAAGTTGAGGAAAGCTATATATGGATTGAAACAAGCACCTCAGGATTGGTTTGAAAAATTCAATATGGTAATATGTCAATTTCAAATTTCAAAGGAGTATTTATGATCATTCTATATCAGTTAAAAAGGAATCTTGTTCTACCACAAAAGTGATAGTATATGTGGATGATTTTGTGCTCACAGGAAATAATGATCACGAAATTCAAAAAGTGAAAGTTCTTGTACGGTATTTTTTTACATCAATGATCTTGGTCAATTGAAATACTTCCTCAAAGTAGAGGTGGCTACGTCTAAACAAGGAATTTTTTTGTCTCAAAGGAATCATACTCTGATCTCCTTAATGATACATGAATGCTTGGAGCCAAACCAGCAGAATCTCCTACAGAGGCTAATCACAAACTGTATGATCAACCTTTATTTATCACAAACTCTAAGTAACCATCGCATATATCAAAGATGACTAGTTTGACTTATTTATTTGACCGTCACACAACTCGACATTCAAACTGTTGTAAGCCTAGTAAGTTAGTTTATGCATGCACCATGCTCCCATCACTTGGAGACTGTTTAGCTCTGGGGAGAGGGCTACTTTATAACATTCATGGTCATCTACAATGTACATTGGACCAGGTGTTCTCTGATCGACGATCTACCAGTGGCTACTTTATGACAGTGGGTGGTAATTTAGTCAATTGAAAGAGTAAGAAGCAAAGTGTTGTAGTTCGAACATCAGCAAAAGCTAAATATTGAGCAATTGCAAGTGCTACATGTGAAATAATTTGATTATGTTCTCTTCTTCAAGTGATGGGTGGTGTTAATGTATCAACTCCTATTCCTCTACACTGTGATAATCAAGCAGGCAATATATTGCCTAGAATCTTGTATTTCATAAAAGAACCAAGCATACTGAGGTCGACTACCACTTTATCCAAGAAAAGATTGCTTCAAAAACAATATGTACCCCATTTATTCGCTCCGAGAATCAATTGGCAGACATACTTACCAAGGTCTCTAATACAGTTCGACTAAAGGATACTTTGGACAAGCTGAGCCTCTATGATATATATGCTCTAGCTTGATGGGAGTGTAGCAACTGTTATGGGCTCATGCCCATTAAAACCTATATAATAGCTGTAACTATTATGCATAATGGGCTTCATGTAGTGGTTGTTATGGTGTAATGGGCTCACGCCCATTAAAACATGCTAACTCCTATAAGGACCTCATGCCTATTAGAACCTGCTGTGACAGTTATTGTAACTCCTGTTATAATGGTTATAATTCTTTTGCAGGTTGACCTATCCATGCTGCAACCTCCATAGGAATCTGTGTATATGTAAGGCACATTGCCCCACGATTTGTGGAGCGTAGAAGAACATATGTATTTACTTTATCTTATGCTTGAATATTACTCTCTATCTCTTTCTTCTCTCTCAATCTTAACACTAAGGAATAATTTAAGGTGTTGGGGCTTATTGCAACTAATGTAACAATTAAAGTACCTCAGGAGCATAGACATCAGCTATGATAGCAGGGTCCACAATCCATTCATCTTCCTTTGGCCACTTTACACTGCAGATATGTAATGTAACATTAGCAATGAAAAACACAGTCATATAAAAAGTCAAGGAAAAACAAATAATCAAAGTAGGTCCAACCAGTTTTGACAGGTAATAACTAGTAGTTCATCTGAAACAAGTATTACTTTTTGTTGGTTAATTAAGTTCTATACAACCTTGTGCATATCAATGGTCTACCCATTTTCTCCAATATCGCTTGACAAACAATATCATCCGGGATCCGAACCCCAACACTTTTTCTTGAAGCGTACTTGGCTGTACTAGTGCCATATCTCAAACACTGCTTTGGCAGCTCTTTGCTTGCAGGCAAAATGAATGTATACTGAAAATAACAAGTCTCTGTATATTATAATGAACTCAGCAAGTCACTAATCCAAGAATGTTAAAGCTTTCCAATTATGCTTACAGGACCAGGCAAGCAATGTTTGACAGCTCGAAATATATTAGTTTGGCCTTGACCGTTACCACAAGGAAAGCCCAAAGTGTAAGTATCAATGTCCTTTAGAGAGTGGCACAATATACTGAGGGGCTGCATAAACAATGAGCATCCATATGGAGCAAACATAGTTTGGCAATAAAAAAGAAGTCAAACTAACAACTACTCATCTGTTACTTTTGCACTGCAAAAGTGTTAATTATCCAAGCAAAATGATATATTGAAGCTTTGTCTGCTGTATATTGAAGGGATATGGCCAGTTATGCGCTAAACTTTCTTGCCTTCAAACTGTCTATATCCTTAATTCTGCAAACAAATTGAAACAAAAAATGCAGGCCATGTTAAACAAACGACATTAAATTTCATAGAATTCTCAAAAAGCTTATCTTGGAGCCTAATGCAAGAAACAATTTCTATACTAATTGCAACTGCCGTTTAAAAAGTCGCATACTCGCAAGTATTGACCAGATAAATGAAAACCATCGTTACCTGCGAAGGCGCTCAATGGAAGAATGGCTTTTCAGATCACAGACAATAGCGTATCTGTCACCATCAGCAAACAAATAGATGGTATTAAGATTTTGAAAGAGAAAGCTCCAACAGAGTCGCCGATGTTTGATTCAGTTCTGGATTTTGCATTTTTTTTGTTTAATCAACAATAGGTGATTTGAGACATGCAATTTATACCTCCTCATAAAGCCAGAAAATAATCCTTCCAATAGTGGTCAATGAGCAAGGAAACTAGCAATAAACAAGCAAGCAACACAAAATTAGTAACATACACAGTATCAGTGGTAATAACCCCAACTGCTCCATCTTGTAGAAGCCGAACCACTGGATCTAATTTCCATGTGTCTGCACCTTGAGGATCGACATTAACATATAAGAAGCCCTCCCCCTATGAAAATGAACTTATGATCATGACACTTCAATATTTTTAACAAGCACTTAAGAAGTCCATAAATCTCAGAACATGAAGAGAAAATGTTGATTAATATAATAGCATCCTAAAGTAGCCCAATCATAAAGAACATATATGCCCCTTCTGTGGCATAAATCCAGATTTGATGTGTTGATATAATTTATTTATTTTTTTGAGAATGGTGTGTCGACATAAATTGAGTATCATACTCATATTATAACTTAATAAATATAATGAAACAAACATGTAAAACACCTTTTCAGGCATGCCAGCCTCTTACTGGACTGGCACATCTCAAGAACTATCAAATTCGAGGGACAAGTGATTTTACTTTATGGGAAATCCTATCACTTTCATTGGAAAGCCAATCACATTTCTAGACTAGTTATGTGGATGAGATCTTGGCACTGGTTTAAGGACAGGCAATTAACGTAGGGCATAGGTTGCATAGGTGTTAGCATAGCAGGCGTATTTGGGTCTTGAAGTGCTTTACATAAAGTAATAACTGAGTTTTCCACTACGGCATTACTTGCATAACTATATTTTTATACAAATTTTATAGCCAATGGCGGAAGCAGAATTTTATTTTTTTTGGTAGTATGTTGACTTGGTGGAAGCATCTTTAATTGGTACAGCAGAACTCAACTTGCGATTAGAAATTAGTTTTACATGCAATTAGTCGAACAATTTGTGAAGATCATGGTATAGCGTCTATTGCAGTTATTCATTTATGTAACAAGCTAAAGGTAATCTTACTCTAAACATTGGTTCATAACCCCTTTGCAAAGTACTTAGGAAAATATATTAGAAAGACATTGACCTCGGAGAAATTTTCTCAAGATACTGGTTTTTTAATGTAAAACACAAAGTTAATGATTGGATGGACTCAACAAAAAGAAGCTGTTCATGACCCGATACATTTCAAGGTCATAGTTTAAGATGAAGAATAGATTGTAGAGAAAGTGAGTTCTGTTATTTCCACAACATCAACCCATGGAGAAATGAAAGATGGTGTCAGGTATCAAGGCAGTGACTATTTGAGACGAACATTAAGCTCTCAGAAATTAAAATCAAGGTTTTCCAAAGCCGGCCAAAGAACATCAAACTCAAGGAGAATTATGAGGAAGCAAGAGGGTGAATTAACTTAACACAACATAGTAGTTCACTCTATAAACTAATCGATATGAATAAACAATGCCTGCTCATGAACCTTCGATAGAGGAAAGTACAATACAGAGAGCCAAGCACAGACCCATCTTCACAAAGGAGGATGAAAGGAATTCATGTAAGCACCATAACAGAACTGGAACAGAATATGAACATTTTTCTATGTTCAAATACTAACATCAATCAATCATATCAAAACGAAAACACGGAAATGCGAATTTTTCGATTTAAGACATAAGTTACAAGTAATTTGATGGGTGACTACAAGCAAATTTGCAAGCCAAATCTACATAAAAGCCTGTATTTAGGTGACCAACATGCTAAGTTTTTACAATTTAGCCAATTTCATATATAACAACAACTAAAATGGAAAAATATATATTCAAGAAACAAACAAAGGAATCACAAACTGTTAAAACTCCTTTAATTCCAGAGAATTCGTGGAGAAAAAGAACACTAAATGAGATAGTCGTCTACAGTTTGTACTTCAAGCCCACCTTTGTAAAACGTGGAGCTGAATATTTGAGGCGCTTCGGACTACGCTTCACCGTGGCCACAGTGCGCATCGAGGAGAGAGAGTGGCGGTTGACGGGAGAAGGGAGCGGAGAGAAAGGAGAGAGAAAGTCGGTTTTTAATGGGAAAGGACGGGTACAGAGAGGAGAGAGAAAGTGGGTTTTGAAGGGAAGAGGGCGCGAGGGGGAAGAAGAGAGAGAGAGGCGCTTGAGGGGTGGTGAAGAGAATGTGGAGAGAGAAGGAGAGCGGTTCCGAAGGCCAGAGGCCATGGCGTCGGCCGTAGCTCAAATGTTGCCCGCATTGTGTGCTGTATTTATGGGGCTTCATTCTGCTAGAATTATTCTGGAGAAGATTTCGTGACCCCGGTAGACCATACTGTTGATCCTCGGCCAAAACTGATGGGAATATGTTTATTTTTGTCCCCCTCAATTCTCGAATCATCGTAACCAAGGGAGGATGGTGGCGCACGACCACCCAGGCAACAAGGTGCGAAGGATCTAAAAAAGTTTTGACCGTTCTCGCGTTCTAAATCCTGAGTGAACAAATCCCTTTTAAAAGACATCTTTAAAAAAAAAAAAAAAAGTCGATCGTCTACGAAAAGACCACTAATCTTTTGGCTGTGGTTTGCATAAGGTTGCAATAATAAATGATCCAATTAAGGGCCACCTCTAAGTTTGATCATAAATGTAATTTTGATATTAAAATTTTTTAATATGATTTGAAAATCTATTTTTATCTTTAATTATAAAAAATGTACTTAAAAAATGTTTCAAATCAAGTACATCCAGTGTTTGAAAACTCGGCGACCTGATCGACTCGGGAATCGGCATACCCCGTGCCGGTTCCACTTCAATACCGGGAATCGCCCGTGTCTAGATAGAACCGGGCGATTCCCAATAGTGAATCGCCGAGTCTCACAATTGACTCGCCCAAGAACACGTGCTGGACAGTGTTCTTCACGGATTTCATCTTTTTTTATCATTTTCTTATCATTTTTTTATCTTTTTCAGCCTTATAATCGAATCTTGCAGGCTTTAATTCAAATATTTCAGTCAATAAAAGGTAGTAAAAATCACCGATTTTGATCAAAAAAAATTTAGATCGAAGAGTGAGTTTTAGGGTTTCCGCCATTTCACTAATTTCAAGTGAAAGAGGGCATCATTTTTTGTAAAATTTCAGGGTGATTGATCGTAAGAGTGTTGTTCAGAAGTTTTTGTTCATAATTTATAATTATTTTACAGGAATATATATCAATTTTGAATTTGAAGACACAGGTGCACGAAAAAACAGGTAAGAATTGTGTTTGTCATCACATGTATTCAATTTGATTTTATTTATTCAATTCGAGCTTGATTTTTGAGAAAAAAAAAGAATGATGTCTGTAAAAAAAAAATGGACAGCTGTTTTTTTTTTTTCCCTCCATTTTATCAATTTTACTCAATATTTTTGTAAAGAATGTGTTAAATTTATAGGGTTTTGAATCCTTGTAGTCTTGTTTATCATCGCATGTATTCAATTTGATCTGATGTATTCAATTTGAGCTTGATTTTTTAGATTGAATGACTGATGTCTGTGAAGAACTGCGTTTTTTTTTTTCCCTCAATTCAATCGATTTTATTTAATTTTTTAATAATAATGTGTTAATATTATAGGGCTTTGATTCCTTATAATGTTGTTTATCAAAACATGCATTTAATTTGGTGTAATTTATTCAATTTGAAGTGGATTTTTGAGTTGGAATGATTAATGTTAGGTGGGTATATGAAGAACTGCCTTTTTTTTAATTCATGATCAATTTTTTTTGAAAAATCATGATTTTCCAAAAAATTGTGAAAATCATGACCAGGTTTTGATTATCATGAGGAATTAAACAATATTTTTAATTTTTATTGTTAAATTTTTAGTTCAAAAAATTGCATGTTGATAGATTATTTATGCAAAAAAATACATGTTATTATATTTTTAATGCAAAACTGTATTTTTTAATTTATTGTTAATGCAAAAAAATATATTAACAAATACATGATGTTAAACTGTATTATATTTTTAATGCAATTTTGTATTAAAAATGCATTTTTAATTTTTTAAATTTTTAATACAAAAAATACATGTTGTTAAACTGTATTATCATGAGGAATTAAAGTGAATATCATTGTAAAAAAATCGTGGCATGTATGATAATTATATTATTTTGCATTTTTCAATTTTATTATTAAATTTTTAATGCAAAAAATGTATGTTCTTGATAATTGAGTTGTAGCCATGTTTGGAGCTTGCATTTTTTATTATATTATCTTGCATATTTGTAATTGAGATGTACGACTATTTGTGATCATTTCAATCAAGTTGGGATTGTGCCTACTATATCATTATAAATTTTATTTGTGGCATTGTAAATGACTATATCACTGTAAATGTTTTTTGTGTCAAATATACGTGTAGTGGCATTATAAATGATTATATTAATGTATTTTTTTTTCTTGATTCTAAGTGTGACTTATACAGACTTTTTTTTATCTATAATGTTGCATAAATATATTTTTTTTTTCAGTAAGAACTAATTCGTGTTTGTCGAAATGAAGATTTGGGACAAGTCCATATGTATTGGCATTGTGAATTACTATACCATTGTAAATATATTTTTCATTGATATTATATCAATGTAAATTTTTTATTCTATATGTAGTAGCTGATATAAGCTATTTTATCTATAATGTTGCATAAATAAATTATTTTTCCCAATAGGAACTAAAATATTTTTGTCAATAGAAGTATTTTGCATTAACAACAAATATAATTTCATGAACTACCCCTACATATTATCACTACACATGGTGATTATTTTTCATGTTGAACTATCAGGTTATTTTTTAACCTTTTACATATAAAAGTTGAACCATGGCAATATCTACGGAAGACCCTGCATGGTAACATGGGGTCAGACTTGATCCCAACAAAAAAGACAAAATTATTTGCAATTACTGCCAAAAAGTGATAAGTAGTGGGGTACATAGGTTTAAGCAACACTTGGTAGGGGTTAAGGGAGATATTTCTGCGTGCAATAATGTCCCTAATAATGTAAGAAAGCAAATGGCGGCATTTCTCAAGGCTACCAAAGGTAAAATAATTGTAAAGCAGATGATGGATGAGAAGATAGCTAATTTATATACGCCATCAAGAGGGAATGATTCAGAAGAGCAATATAATAATGACTTGAATATGGCCACAAGAATAAGTTTACAAAAAACATACTAGAGAGAACGCGGGTTTAGATTGCCTGGTTGTTATGATATGGGCATGCATGGTGGGCCTAGCTCAGACATACATAACGGGCCCAGCTCGAGCATGTATGGCGGGCCCAGCTCAAATATATATTGAGGGGTTGGTGGCAATATGTATCAAGAGGAATCAGACGTTGAAGAAATTGTTTCTAGCTTATCTAGGAGTGCTAGTATTGCAGATCATGGTCGTATAGACCTATTTATCTCAAAGCCTAAGTCAGAACAGATGACCCTCAAATGCATGGTGAAAGGTACGAGAAAGATGTTGGGGAGATATGTTGGTAAATGGTTCTACGAAAAAGGGATCCCTCTTGATGCAGCCAATAGCCCATATTTTCCACCTATGGTCAATGCAATCCAGAGAGCTGGGCCCGGGCTAAAACCCCCGACGACATATGAGCTCAGTTAGAAAGTGGATTGAAGAATATAAACAGAGTTGGCCAAGAACAGGCATTACTCTCATGAGTTATGGTTGGTTGAATAAAGTTAGCAAAAAGGAGTTTGTAAACTTCTTGGCCTATTCCCCAAAAGGTACAGCTTTTTTGTCTAGCAAAGACATATCAGAGACGAAGAAGGATATAAACTTCTACGTACGACTATGTGATCAGATAGTGGAGGAGGTGGGAGATAAGCATGTAGTCCAGTTTATTACGGACAATGTGCGTGCATGTGTTTCTACGGGCAGCAAGTTGATGGATAAGAGGAAGCATCTAGTATGGACCCCTTGTGTTGTACACAGCATTGATCTTATGTTAGAGGAGATTAGTGAGATTAAAATTATGAAGGAAGCTCTACAGGAAGCGAGGTGGTGTCAAGATTTATATATAACTATTCTAAAATTTTATTTTTGTTCAGAGAACAATCTAAGAAAAAAGAGATAATCAGGCCCGCCATAACTCGTTGTTGTCTCAATGTTTCAGTATTGTAGAGGCCACTGCCCCTTTAGTCACGGTGTTAAGAATGGTGGATGCTAACAAGAAAGCTACCATGGGCATCCTTTATGAAGGTATCGAGAGGGTCAAATCAACTATTGGGGAGAAATATAGTTTTGCTAGTAAAGTGATCGAGATTATAAAAAGAAGGTGGAACACCAAATTTGGACTTCCTATTCGTTATGCAGGTAAATATATATTTTCTAGGTTACCACTTCAACCCAAAAGAGGATAGCAATCAAGGTACTCTTCCAGACATATTCTGCTACTGGCTGTGATCGAAACTGGAGTACGTTCTAATGGTTGCACACTACTAGGAGGAATCGACTCGCTTCGGAGAAGCATCATAAAATAGTCTACGTTCATTACAACTTAAACCTCCAAGAGCGACAAATAAGAAGGAAGCTTGACGAGTATGGGCAATATTTGTCACAGACACAACAGAACAATGGGTAATAGAAGAAGAGGAGCCAGTGTTGCACAAGAGAGTGTTTCTTGAGGCTATCGTTGAGGAAGATATTAAAGAAGGTGATGAGCAGCATGAAAGAAGAAGCAGCCCGCCAACATATCCGCAATTCGTCGGAGATGTCGTTGATATTGCACCTAATGAGGAAGAGTGGGAAGGGGGTCTAAGGGAAAATGAGAGAGATGATGATTATGAGGCCACCCAATCCCAGCCAAATTATTCACATATCGAGTCCTAACAACAAGACGGTAGGGATAAGCACGATAGTGTAGGCGAGCATGAAGGATGGACAAGCTTTAGGGATTTTGGATTAGGACCACAACAAACACTAACACTTAGGGATTTGGGTGGATGATTCGTTTTTAGAACGAGTCAATGAATTGTTACGCGAATTCAATCAATGGCACCAGCGTGACCAAGATGAAGAACGACGTCGTCTGTCATTTTATTTTTAGATCGTATGTTACAAATTGTATGCTTTATTGTAGTCCATGTATGATGATATACTTAATCCATGATAATTCTATGTTTATCCTTTTATGTGATGTAAATTAAATGGTAAATAGTAGTTCATGTAGGGAAAGAATATATCAATATTCGCATATTCATGCAAAGAAATGAAATTTCTTAATGGAGTACCCTCATTTCTTATTGAATTCCTACAAAACAACATTTATAATGAATTTTAATAATTTTTCGGATTTTTTTTAAGGCTTAATCCAACTGATTCAGCCGATTCCCGACCCAAATCGCCGATTCACCGATCCGAATGGGTTTTTGAGATGCCCGATCCGGGTTACCGATCCGCTTTTTAAACCACTGAGTAGATCCATAAGCATATAAAAAAGTTAAAAATAGATAGTCCAAATAATATATTTCAAGACACGATTTCACATACTCAAAATCTTTTTTTCTTTTCATATTCATGCATCTCGATATTGAGATGATCAATTAAAGGGTTTTCCAACATCCAAACAACCTTTTATGATGGATTTTTTAGGTGCACCTTTAATTCTACATTTTAAGGTTGTAACCTTAATAAAAAATTTTCTTTATTTTGTTTTGTACACGGAGGTCATAGTCATTTTTATCTCTCGAATTTCAAAATGAAGAGTTGTGAAGCCTTCTTGTGATTGTTTATGTACATATTGTGTGTGTGAACTCTTGTATATCAAAATGAAAGTTGACATTCTTCAAAAAAAAAAAAAAACCTTTAGATTACTGAATTTTGGATGGTAAGCTGCTGGTGTTTTCATAAAGTGATGCACATGCTGAATTTAGATATCCACAACTTCTCATTCTTGATATCCACTTCTCATTCTTTTTATCTCTACAAATTTCCATGTTTGTTGGGTTGCATGCTAGATGTTTTTCATTGAGGCATTCTTTTTATATATTGTGATGATTTTGAGTTAAGGTGAAATTGGTGCACATAAGTGTGTATGTCATTTACTTTAGTATGCATGTTACCAACACATCATGACATGCCTTTCAGAGCCATAGCACATGAAGAGGAGTTGTACATGAAAAATGATCATGTTTGCACATTAGCTGCTGATGGCACGGATAGGACGAAGATTCATATTGATGAGGATGGCACGGATAGGACGAAGATTCATATTGATGAGGGTTTTAGTATCATTAGACATTGGCCCCATACAGTTGAGCAGTAGGATTTGATTTGAAGAATGGGGCTATGGCCTCTTGTTCAGTACACTACCATGGAGGGGGCACCGCGATAGATTGACCATCCTCTTATGGAGGCAGTGACAGAGAGATGGCTCCCAGAGACGAATTCACTGCACTATCCACAACGTGTTGGTGAGATGATGCCAATCTTAAATGATGTGTGGCGTACTTTACGGATCGGAGTCCCACGTGAGCCGGCATAACGCATAGCTGTTACGATGGTTGGGAGACTACCCGCCAAATGAATTTAAAATTCGCCATATATTGAACTTCACTTGGTTGAGAGAAAATTATAAGAATCTGCCAGAAAATCCCACACAATTATAAATAGAACAACACACTAGGGCATTTTTGATATATTTAATAGGTAGCATCATTTTTCCAATCCAAGGCTAATGAAGTCTCTATTAGGCATTTGACTTTGAGGATTTTGATAATGCGGGTCAGTACACATGGGGGGCCACATATCTTTTTAGGAGCCTCACGAAGTTTGTAACTATTAAAACTAAGAGGGGGCGTGATGGTTAGAGGGTACCCAGTTCTCACCTCACTGGGTGTGCGACATTACTTCAGGTAAACTCAGTTTGTTTCGCTAATTATTATTTTTTTGCATGTGTCAAAGTCATTGATTTGTAGGTTTCATGCATTTTTTTTCAGCTATTTATGTATAAGTAATTATTGTATGCATGTTGTCCAGTCATGGGTATTTGAGCATTTCAAAACATTACGATCTGAGGAAAGTAGTCAACAAGTTGATGCTGGTACACCAAGGGCTACAAGATCGATACACCCAGGCAAATGGGAAAACCCAAATAGTAATCTAGCATACTATCGACATGAATTAGATCTCCTTGAACTTGAAAGGGTATAATTGTAATGCTTATTAGTTCATATACTCTTGCGCCTTATAGTTACTCATAATTAATCATGTATATTTGTTTATATATATGTTGTTATCCATTCCAACAGGTACTATGGAACCCATATACAAAAGAGAAAGATTGTGGTGCTGAGCAGGTCCATCAAAGGGCTCTAGATTGGGAGGCATTGGAGACCGCTCTTTGTAGGACATATGTGATATTCGATAACATAGCAGAGCAGTACCTCCCAGACCGGGTACTAGGACAATTTGGAATGAGACAGCCCATCCCAGCAAATCCCGGTAGATGGGATAAATTTGAGAGGTAGGATAAAAATGATGAAAACTAGGAGCAGAAACTCGCCTCTCAAATCAGATACTGGCACAAACGGCTTCAGTACTATCAAACATCGAAAGAGTATGAAGAGTGGCATGTGCAGGTTTCTATGCCTAGAATTCATAACCCAGAGAACCCTCGGACGGATGCCTATGCACCTCGAGGCTATGGTGATGACCTTGTAAGTTTGTATTTAGGTTAAATTTAATTTTATAAATTCATATTTCTTTGTTTGTGATAGTATCTTGATTGTAACTGTTTGTGGTGTTTCAGTTGTGGTGTTTCATATTTCTTACAATAGTTAATTGTAATTGATTGTAAATTCATATTTCTTTATTTGTGGTGTTTCAGTTGTCCAAAGTAGACCATTTGCTTGGAATTGTTGAGGATGGGCTGGCGGTGGCAGCTCAAGACCCCGGGATGAAAGATCGATGCTTTAGACAGATCAGGCGAGAGTTGATATTGTCTAAATTCGGGTTATTTGAGGAAGAAACAAGAGTCCAATGATGATTTTGGACAAGAGTGTGTATTGACTGCTAAGCCACAAATGCAGAGCAACCGCATAAGAACTCCAAGGAGACGATCCACATGGCCTCAAGACCCAACACTGATGAGCGACTGGGTCCCAGTTCACCAACTATTGGGAAGAGGAAGAAAGTACTTGCCCCAGAAGAGGATGTTGATTTTATATTTTAAACTTTCGATGTAATGTGGAATACTTTTGATAAGGTTAATGTAAATTTGAAAACTCTCCTGAGTTACAAATTTTGTTGTAAACTTGGCTTTGAATGGAAATTTTATTTTTTATTTGCAATCTATACTTTTGATGTGAATGGGATAGATGTAAATGTTTGCAAGTTAGTGAATGAATAATCCACATTGATCCAGAATGTAACTGTTTGGATGATAATTTTGTTGTGTGTGAATAATCGAGAAGGTACCTGTTTGGATGATAATTTTGTTGTGAGTGAATAATCCATGTTAATGGTTTCAAAAACTTATCTATGAGTGAAGGGTTAGAACAGGGGTTCCAAATATTTTGAAACTAGAACAAAATGAAATGTAAAAAAAATGCTAGTGTGGTTGTTTGGTATTTGGTCTACCGGGCAGTGTTATGTTCCAAAATGCCTTGTGGAAATTTGGTATTTGGTCGATCAGTGTTCTATTGCCCAAAATACCTTGTGGTTGTCCAGTATGTGGTCTACCGGACAACGTTTTGCTCCAAAATGCCTTATGGCTGTACGGTATTTGGTCTACCGTACAGTGTTCTATTGCCCAAAATGCCTTGTGACTGTCTGGTATTTGGTGTACCGGACAGCGTTTTGTTGCCCAAAATGCCTTGTGCCTGTCCAATATGTGGTCTATCGGACAGTGTTCTGTTGCTCGAAATGCTTTGTGGTTGTCTAATATTTGGTCTACCGGACAGCATTTTGTTCCAAAACGCCTTGTGGTTGTCCCTTATTTGGTCTACCGGACAGTGTTCTGTTCTCCAAAATGCCTTGTGGCTGTCTGATATTTGGTCTACCGGATAGCGTTCTGTTCCAAAATGCCTTGTGCTTGTCCAGTGTTCGGCCTACCGGACAACAATATAGAATCCAATAGGCTCTGTTCCAAAATGCCTTGTGCTTGTCCAGTGTTCGGCTACCGGACAACAATATAGAATCCAATAGGCTTCTTTGCATAACGTTGTCCAGTGGTCCAAATACCGGACAACCATAAGGCATTTTGGAATAGAATGTTGTTCGGTATATTGAACATTGGACAACGTTATGGACCTTTTTACTCAATTTTTCTAGTTTAAAATTATTATAGTTTCATATTTTTTGACACCCTGTTCTAACTCAGATAATTTTTGCAACGATAAACGTCGATTATTCACTCACAACAAAATTTACATCTCAATACAAATTGAAAGACACCATCAAATTTGCACTATTTTTTAAACCCCTGTTGTAACACCCATAGATACTTTTTTGAAACTATTAACACGAAGAGAGAGAGGGTCATCAATGAGACAAGGCCTCAGTGATCTCTCCTTCTCCGCCTTCACTCACTGAACTTCCAAATTTCTCCACCACTACCCCGTTAATAGCCTTGATAATCTCCTCCAAAGGAAAACGGGGAAGATAGCAGAAGGGAGCATAGCCCTTTGAGACTAAGTGGTTGTATTTAAAACACAAGAAACCAGCAGTTGGGCCGGCAACCTGAGCCACCTGGGCCAAGAAAGGAAGCCTTTGGAGTTGAAAGCATGCCTTAATGGCATAGTCCTCAACTATGGGCTTGTATTTTGCACAAGCCTCCTTGCCCACCTTAGCTGCTCCACGCTCTTTGATATCAGTAGCTACCTTCTCATAGAGCTCAGGTGCCTTTCGGGCAACGGAGGAAGCCTTGGAATAGAATCCTTTTACAAATTCAGGAGCGTACTGTTGAATATTGCCTAAGTTCTCATCGACCTGAAAAGAGAAGAAACACCAGGGAGAACCCACCAATAAATGAAGAGCCAGGGGAGAAGATGGCCAAAGAACCAGTGAATCCAGTGATAAATGAAGAGCTAGGGAACAGAATCGGCATTACAGCAGTAACACTGTGGGTAATATGGTGTTTTGGAAGCAAAATCGCAGTTGTTTTTTTTGGAGGATTAACATTTCTACATCTAATTGCACAAAGTGCAGAGTGCAGACAGATTGACAAGATTTCAGGTACATACTAGAAAATCGGACAGAGTTTTGAGCTGAATTTCACCATTCAGCAAATGTGTCAAGTGCTTCAGATCTCTCATCAAAACATCCAAAATTCAAAGTCTATCTTTTAATAACTGAAGAACCATGAAAGACATGGTAAAAACTCAGTTCATCAAAAACTGAAACAGAGACAAAGTTGTCTCACATAAGATCAGATCACTCACGAACGAAAGCATTCACAGCACAATAGGAATCCTCGAGAATTTAGGCAGACACTGTATATAAATGTTCAAGAATTTTGTGAAATGGTTTCAGATAATTTTTTGAGCAAAGAATTTACCAAGTTTCAGAGTGTATTAGTAGACCTTCATTAATTCTCAGACTAAAATTGACTGTTAATAAAAAGAGAAACATTGGAAATGCGCAGTTCATTGGAAGAGGAAATTTAAAAGCAGGCCTCTATTCCAAAATTATGAATATAAATATTCTAAAAAATTGTAAAACAACTTTTTAAAGAAAAAAAAATCTCATGTATATCAATCAAAAAAGGAAAACCCACTGATAAGAAAATAGAAAGTGGTTAGCATGAAAAATCAAAACTATCAGTATCAACAACTAAAAATAAGAGATATCATGTTTGTAAACAACTATTCGAACCTTTAAGGATATAGGCAAACGATCACAAAATGTCCATGGATTGGCAGACGTTTCTTTCCTCGTCACTTAAAAACTACTCTCTCTCTCTCTCTCTCTCTCTCTCTCTCTAACAATAAAAAGTAGAAATGCTGAGATGGAGTGGGGTTCTCACTCAGAACTTCTTAGAGGGTTGAGTGACTGTCATTAAGACTCTCTAACAATTGAGAGAGATCTCATCAAGAACTCATTAAGCATCATCATAGTGAAGAACTACCACTCTAATCCTTTGAAGGGGGAGGACATCGAAACCAAAATAAACCACTCAGAGAACAAAAGAATAGAAGGCAAGAGCATCGAAAAGAGAAACAGAGCCTCAAATAAATCTAGGTAAAAAGTTTCCGATTCTCCCAAAAAAAAATTTAAATAAATAAAAGTTTAGTAGCTCTATGAGAAAAAGTAAGGGAATATAATAGAGATAGAAACATGAGTCACAGCAACCAGAAATTGCTAATTCATTTGGAAACGAAATCTCAAAGCAGGTTCTCCATTCCAAAATTTTACCGAAGAAGGTGAACATTCCCAACTAAAAAGTACCAAAAGCTTAATAACTCGGTACATGGGAGCAATATGTATTCACAACAAAAGAACGAGAAGATCAAACCCCCAAACAGACAGACAAGAGCTAGGAAGTATAACAAATCATCCACCTAGCTATACCTAAAAAGCACCAAATTCTCAAATTTGTCACAACAGAGCAAAACATACATACCCGTCCAACCCCCCACCAAACCAAAAGGGCCCGAATTTTAAAGGAAGTTCCGTTTATTTACACGGCAAAAAATCATAAATCTGTTTCTACTGGTCACGATTGCTAAGAACCAACACCTCTCATGCAATTCGCAGATTACTCTAACTTCTCAACTCCCAGTAAACCACCTCTTTCCAAATAGTCACCAATTTTAGCTTCCCCCCCCCCCCCCAAAAACGTATTGAATATCCCATCTTGTTTTTGCAGACAAATATTCCACAAGTCGTTTCGGACAAATTGCTAACTAATTATAAAAAAAAAAAATCCTTAAACACAGAAAATTGACACGACGTCCTTAATGTACTGAAAAATCATATTATTCACGCGTTTGTGTGCATGTAAGTATGGAAATTTTTTATAAAAGGTTGCAACCTTGCTCACAGAAGTAAGGTTGCAGTAATCCACGTACAAAAAAAGCTAGAATACCGCAAAAACATGGCCTAAATACAAAAGCAAAAGCATGTAACGATGACTAAGAGACATAACTCAATCGTATTGTAAACAAATACTCCAACCCTACCTTTCCGTCGATAAACTTGAGGATGTTCAATGGAACTCCATTGACCTTCTCGTACACAGGGCCGACGACAGTCTTTACATGGCCCTCGACCTTGTCTATATGAGAACGTATAGAACCAGAGTTCCCCTTTGCGTATTCATACAAGCTCAAAATGCATATGATCGCCTTGATGGCTGCGATCTTTATGAATCCGAGGTATTTCAGTTCCAGATCTTGAGGTTCCTGTAATGGTGCAAAGAAACAAAAACCACAAAAATGATCATACAATAAAAAACGGAGAAAAAGATCAAAAAAATATAAATCCAACCGAAATTTGAAGACAATTTACTGTTTTGGCCTCCATGACTGGAATATTCACAGAGAAAGTATGGCTTGTTTGAACGAGATTAGGGTTTCCAGGAAAATTGAGGTTTTCCTCGATCTAAATTAGGGTTTTAAATGGAACTAGGCCTTCTGTGAAAACTAGGGTTTTCAAAGCGACCTTAGGGTACCAAAGCACCGCAACACGAATGATTACTGTGACGTACATTGGCCACTTAAATAGAAAGAAAACGACGAAGCAGGGGTCTTGGGGCTTATACAAACCGTTGATCACTAGATCCAACCGGTGGTGATTAAGAGAGAGCGTAGGTGTGGCACCACTTGGAGAAGGACGTGGAAATTACCGATCACCAGATTGGGGAGGCTGCAGAAGCTTCTGGTATGTTTGTTGGACAGTTTGATGAGGAGAGAGATAATAGTAAATTTATCATAATTTTGGTTTTTTTTTGTGAGTAATTTTGGCTTCTTGTTTTAGAAGGTTGCAACCTTAAACAACGCGCAGTTCCAAATTTTATCATAATATATAATATTATTATAAAATTTTTTTAAGATTATCCTAAAATTTATTTTTATATCTAATTAAAAAATGTTAAACTCCAAAAATAAATAAAATAAAGTCAACCTATAAACGTATGAAAATTTTGAAAATGGACAGTCTAAATAATGTGTTGCAAGATGCATTAATTATGAGACTCAAACTTTTATAGATATATATTCATACATATTAACGACGAAAAGATCAATTAAACGTTTTTTAACATTATAACAACATTTTCGATAGATTTTTGACGTACATATGTAATTCTACATTTTAAGGTTGCAACCTTATTATTTATAATAAGGTTGCAACCTTAAAATATAGAATTAGCAACGATTGACAACTTGAAACATATGGAGTTTATAATCACCGATGTATGTATGCTATATAAAGACAGTGATGAAACTTCACAGCATATTTTTCTCTTATGCCCTTTTGTTATATATCTTTGGGATTAGGCTCTGCAGTGCTTCAATTTGTCATTACCTTTGCCCCAAAATATCAGAATTTTTATTGAACAATGGATCACATCTGATATTTCAAATATAGGAACTATTCTTTAGAAATCTATTTGGGTTAGCCTTTTTTTTGGAGTGTGTGGAAGGAAAGAAATAGAAAAATCTTTGATAATAAGTACATATATGTCTATAAAATCGAATATTTTAGCAGTTGTAGCTGATTGGTTCCTTACACATAAGGATCGTAGTTTTATTCCTAAAAGTCTTTAACAATCCCTTGGCAGTGGCGACTATAGGTGTTACCACCAATACTCGTAGTGAGATTGTTTGGATATCACCACTAGTGAATTCTTTCAAACTTAATTTTAGTGAAAGTTTACTTGGTAATCCAGAGCCAGCTGGCTATAGTGGTCTCATCATAAATAATTTGGGGCACATTATATTTTCTTACTCCAGTCTTTGTGGTATCACAACAGCAAATGAGACAAAATCACAAGGTTTACTAAAATGTTTGAAATTTTTATGTACTTTGGAAGGGGGTATGATTATCGAAAGAGACTCGGCAAATGTCATTGCGTACAATAAGAGAAATATCCATATTCTTTGGAGATTAAATACTATTTTTCATCAAATTTAAGATATTTTATCAACTTTTATGGCAATGGTCCAACATTCTTATAGAGAAGCGAATGAAGATGTTGACGTTCTTGTCAAAGGAAGAGTCCATACACTAGTTACTTCATTTCTATAATATTGTGTCTTTGCTTGAACATCTTGTATTTTATATTTAAATCAATGATAAATCGTACGTTACCGTTAAAAAAAAAAAAATTTGCAGCTTTATATAAATTTTTTCCTTGTTTCAATATCTCCTACAAAACACTCTAAAGAGAGAAACGACTGCGCACCACTGCCTTTATCGAGTGACAATGGAAGTTTGACTCTTCTAAGTAAATGTTTTTTATTAGGAAAATTGTTTCATGCGGCCAGTTCTGCATTTCTAAATTTGCGGTCTCTAAAGATGGATAAAAATAGGTGGTCCATCTAAAAACAATTGTAACTAGAGGTTTAAATGTTTTTTTAATATATAATTACGATTTCTGGTTTTCAAAATTTTGTTATTCATATTCATATTCATATTCATGATCTCATGTTAAAGATCATATATTTTTTAAAAACTAAGATTAACTTATATTTAAAAATTATATTTATTGTCAAGCTCGCATTTCTACGACATACACGCTGGCCGCATAGAAACCGTATCCCTCGTAAAAACCGTGTCCTTTATTATGGGTAGGTAAGTAGGTTTCATTCTACGTTTTATACGGGTGGAAGCACTTACTCTTAAGGCCTAAGTCTCGTGAAAATATTTACTAAGGCCCGAGTCTCATGAGAATATTTAAAGCCTCGCCTTTGAATTTTGTCCTAAAAAATATTTTGTGCGTGAGAAATTTACATGATATCTCTAAAATCAATTTCCATCATGGTTATATAACTCAAAAAATAATACAAATCTTGTTTTTATGTGAATAGTTATTTTTTTAAAAAATAGATATCCTAGATAATGTTTTACAATATATAATATTTGTAGCATTTGAAGTCTTATATTTTCTATTTTTTTATAACCATAATGATCAAGGTCAATATAATCGATTTGAAAAAATCAACACTATAATTTTCGATGAGGGTTTACTTATTTTAATAAAACTGCCGCCCTATAAAAATATTTTTCTGCAAAGATACGACGAAGAGGGACATTTTTACTTCCCATAATAATCTTTTCGTAGAGTAGACGAGGAATTCTCTCTAATTTCTTAAGAAAATGATCGAAATTGAAAATAATGAAGTATCTCTTTCACTCACCAATTTATTAAAAAAAGATGGAAATTCGAAATATTGATGTATCTCTATCTCTCTAACTTTGGCCGCAACAGTAAACTTTCCTGTAAAATGTTGATAAAACATTCCTGGATCGTAAGGGGTGTCTCTTTCTGTGTCTTTGGCGAGTGGGGTATGCTATATGAGGATGAAACCTTAACTACTAAGTATTTTGGGTCTTTTATCCAAACAAAAGGAAAAAATGTGTACCTTCACACCTTAACCATGAAGTCTCTCCCAAACTGGTGGCCACTAGGTCTTCCTTCGCCAGGAAGGTCCAAAAAATGTGATGGTTTCACACCTTTGCCGTGCGAGAGAGTAATGAGGTCGCAATCTTCACGCTTCTAAACCGAGGATAAAAAGTAGAAGGGGGCCACCAGAAATCCGAGTACTGTAGTACTGGGCCTTTCTAAATTTGGTAACTGGTTTTGATTTGATAGGGCTGGCGCCTTACCAAAATAAGTAAGTATTACTTTATAATTTATCGAAAATTGTAATTCAAGCATTAAAAAAATTTTACCATTATTTTGGCTTGAACATTATGGTTGTGAAAAAATAAATAGGATTTTAAGCTATGGAAAATAGTGATGTTCTAACAAATTATCTAGACCGTCCATTTTGCCCTAAAAATTAAGTGTTCATAGTTCCGTAAGATTTAAATTATTTTTTGTATTTTGAATTTCGTTATTAGTATTGGAAATTGATTTTAGAGCTACTATGTAGATTTCTGTTGCCGAAAGTATTTTTCGGATGAGGATTTGGGGTGAGGCTTTGTTTTGTTTTCATAAAGCCTAGGCCTTATAGAAACCTTATCCTTTAAATTTCTTGTCCGGTCACACTTCACGTATGAAAGGTCAATGAATCAGGATTCTAGCTAATATATTGAAATTTTTTTTTCTCAATTATTTATGGGATTATTTACAAATAGACTATTTATTTTACAAGGAGGTCCCTATCACTCATTAGATGTTAAATTGAATGGCTTGGGGTAAGTCACAAGGCCGGGAAATTTTTTTTAAAAAATTTTTGTGTTTATCCGATAATGCTCTTACAACTACCCATTTTGAAATTTAAAAGACAAGAATAATTGTGACCTCCTGTACAAAAAGTAAAGAGAAAATATAGAATAAAACCATTTACCTTCGGTATAAGGTTGTCACATTAATCTTGACTATTGGATGTGAAATTGGGTGGCTGCAATTATTCCATTGACCAAACTCAAACTTCAAAAGAAATTTTTTCGAACTTTATGACACATCCAAGCTATCAAATTTTATATTGAATGATTGTAAATAATTGTGACCACCTTGTATCAAAGTAAATGATCTCATTGTATACAATCCCAAAAGTAAATGGTCACTTCATAGGAATCCCATTATTTATATGAAGCTAATCAATCTCTCCTAGCTCGAATCAAAGCATTATTTGTTTGATTTTAATTTCGGGAGTTTTTTTGGGACACAATCTCATTTCTTTTATTTTTTTGCCAATCTTGCATTTTCACTAGCAATTATTGACTCATGCTTTAAAATATGTATCAATTTGCTTGTCGTTTATCACTCTAACAAAACTCTATAAAAATTTGCTGGAATAAAAATCCAAATGAAAGAAATGGAGAGTCCAAATTTCAGGAGTTTTTGTAGCACAAAATCAAATACTCTCTCATTGTTTCACCAAATTCATTCAAATTTGTTGTAAAATGTTTCTATCACGTAGATCACAAGAACTCTTACAAATTGTTTTGAATCAAAATCCAAAATTTCATAGATTGGCTTTTGTTTTCTTTTTTATGTCATTTTCTTTCCGAAGTGTCATTTTTATTTCAATTGTTGGCTTTTAATGTTCTAGTTATATCTCCAACAAAGCAATTACTTGATTTTGAATAGTTGATTTATATTTTTTTCTGTATCTTTTGACTTGTTCGACCTTTTTTTCTATTTTTGTCTTCTTTTGTCGACTGAACCTACAACCGAGGTGGCTGCCTTGACAAGGGCACGGCAGGTGTCTAGTTCGGGTTCCCATGCTACGTTTTTAAACACTACTGTAAACCCTCATTCGAAGATCTCTTTAAAATCTCTTTGATTTGTTAGCTAAGTCCAATTATAGATTGCCATAATTTCATGTCCATCTCTCCTTATAAATCTCTTTTTATATTTTATCTCGTTTGGGGATAAAATAGGAGTAAGATAAAAATAAATAAAAGTTCTAAGGATGGTCTACATCATGTGAATGTTTGAATGGTAAAACCACTGTGTAAAAAGTCGGTCGATTTTCAAAAATCGGCCGACTAACTCAAAGTTAGTCACTGGCTGAACTCGAATTTGTTCGATTTCATAGGTTATGCATTGGATAATTTTCATACACTGTATTAATCAGCCGATTTATTGCACTAATCGGCACAAATCAACACTAATCGAACGATTTGTGCATTAATAATCTTATTTGTACACTAATCAATGATTTATTGTAAAGATCGGTAGATTTATATACCATTATACTGCAAGTTTTTTGCGGGCCTCTACTACATTTTTTCTCTCTCTTATTGGGGTAGCGTGCCCCAACCCCTCTCTCTTTCTCTTTCTGTCTCTTTCTTGGGGTCTGCCCCAATGTTTAAAAGTAATAATGATCTCCTCGTAATAAAAGTGAATGAGATTATAATATAGAATCGTTTTAAAAATAAGAAATCAATACCTAAAAAAGAGCTTGAATATAATCTAAGTTTGAATAGAAAAAGATACCTATTCCACAAGAAATAATATTATTGATTTCCAATAGAAATCCAATAAATACCAAACAAAAAAAACTAGCCAACAATATCCCTATAAAATCACCGATGACAATATAACAATAAGGGTGATCTTTTCTATTCTTTTTTTTTTTTCTAAATTTCAAATAATACCTTATTTATTCCAAAACCTCAAACATACCCTTTTTTTTGTTACTGTTTGCAATTTAGTGAAAGAACCGTGATGGTCTCTATAAGTGCTTTTTGTTTTTTATGGATATGATTAAGTGCACTTTCACGGTTCTTTTAAAACTGTGATGGTTCTTTAGCGAGTAAACCATCTCGACAGTCGTATAAACTGTGATGGTTCTTTAGCGAGTAAACCATCTCGACAGTCGTATAAACACCATCACGGTGGTCTAATAACTGTGATGGTCCCACTGAAATGAATGACATACATGAGGCACACCATGTTAAACCAAGACATCATTACACATGATGTTTGACCCGTTGCATGCATCAAGAACTCAATGAAATCATCTCATTTTGATAGTACCCAACTTCGCATGGTTTAATATAACTCAAACTAGCTATTGAATGTGGTGCCACAAGTGATCCCTTCTTACTCCATAAGAGAACAGCGTAAAAAGATTTAGAGACTATAACGGTGGTGTTATAACTGTGATGGTCTCAGAACCTCATCACCACGATGGTCTCTAGCTTCGCAAACCATCAGAGTTGTAATACAACCGTAATGGCTTGGACAGTCACAGTTATAAGACCACTGTGATGGTCTCTAAGCTTCCTATACTGTCATGGATGTGACCGCCGTGACGGTTTACTTGCTAAAAAGCCATCACCGTTCTTTAGAACCGTACTGGTTCACATTATGAACCTATCAAAATTACTTGTAGAGACCATCACAGTTCTCTCGCTCTTACTCTTACGAAGGGTAATTTGGTCACAAAATTTTAAACAGTAATAAAATAAAAAAAAAGGTATAGTTGAAGTTTTGGAAAAAATAGGGTAGTTTTCTTTTCGTGATTGTCTATAGATTATTTATCTTTTGTACAAAAAAATCACAATTATTTTTATTTATTAAGTATTAAATTGGATAGTTTAGGATGAGTCGTAAAATTCGAGAAATTTTTTTTTGAAACTGTGTCTATTCAATAACATTTTTACAACCAACTATTTTAAAATGCAAGGGACAAAAGTAATTGTGACCTCCCTATACAAAAGATAAATTCTTTGTAGACAATCCCTTCTCAATTACATTTTCAATGCGGCAAGTCTATTATACTTTGGATAAGCATAGCATTTCCAATATTTATGCAAATATAGGAGCAGATAGGCCTATGCTTCTATCCAAGAAAAATATCAAAGGAAAACAGTTCATGCAATCCCTTGGAAGTCAGAGGAAGGAAATCTTCAGATATCCTTTCATAGAGAGAGAAAGAATGAGGCTCTTATACCTGTTATATACAAAGTTTGCGAGCCATTTTAGAGAGAGGATGGTGGGTAGGGGGTAGCGATAGGTGCAGTGAAGGGTAGGGAATGCTTTAATGCTGAGAATGGTCAGGCAATTAGAGGCTTAGGGCGCTTGGCGTATTGCTCAATGGGATCCTTTACCTGTAATTCGTCACCGTACATTTAAAGATTAGCCTTCATCCAAAGCATGGTTAGGAGCGATTTTGTTGAAGCGTTGAATTATCAATGATAATGAGTATTTATCTAAGGGAAAGTATAGAATGAAACTATTTACTTTTGATACAAGGTGGTCACATTAATCATGACCATTGGATGTGTAATTTGGCGGCTGCAATTATTCCATTGACCAAGTTCAAACTTCTAAAGAAATTTTCTTGAACTTTGTAGTACCTCCAAACTATCAAATCTCACATCATATGGTTATAAGAAATTGTGACCACCTTGTACCAAAGCTAAATGGTCTCATTGTATATCTCTTTCACCCTCGTGACCATGAAGTCAACCTCTATGATGCTCATCACCATGCAGGTAATGGTTTAACATGACTCAAAATGAGGGGCCACTCTATCTAGGCTGTTCATCATCATTCAGCCAAGTGATGATCCTCATGACTGTAGTACTCTTATGGTAGAATCTCTCTCTCTCTCTCTATCATGACTGTAGTACTCTTATGGCCATTAGAATTGTAGAATCTCTCTATGATTGTAGTACTCTTATGGTCATTAGAATACTCTCTCTCTCTCTGTCGTATAAACAAGAAGAAAAGAAGTGAGGTGTGGAGAAAGGATACCATGCTAGCCCTGCGTGAGCGCTTGTCTTGTGTGGACTGCTGGGTGCATCTGATGGCATCAGGACCACCGTAGCCTCTGTGATTCAATGCTTCTCCTGCAATCCCCGGTATCATACTCTCTCTAGACGCAATCGGCTGCTTCTCAATCCACCGATCCAGAAAACATAGCAACAGAAGAACAAAATGCATCAAACTAAATGTTATTTTTTCATCATACCACTTACAAACATGCCGAAACATCATTCACAACCAAGTAATTTTCCCCAATCTCTCTCCTCAGTGAACATGTGTCGTGTGAATTAAAAGACAATAGGAATTAAAGATGTTTGATTTGTGTGAGAGCCAGAGAGATTTAGAAAGAAAACAGTAGAACATTAAAATGATAGACCCAGAGAGAGAGAGAGAGAGAAAGATTGTAACATTGCTTAGATACGCAGAGATACTGCAACCTAATTTGAAAGAAAGAAAAGACTGCATTACAAGAAAAGGTGAGAGATTTCCAAAGAAACATGGATTTTTTTAAATAAATATTAACGATAAACAAGGAAAAATAAAGGAGAAAGGATTCTGCAACTGTAACGAAAAAAGAGCGAGAGAGAGAGAGAAGGGGCGGGGGACGCGCAGGGGCAATGAAATCATGAAACAACAAGAAACTGAAACAAAACGTTTTAGTGAATGAAAACACATAAAATTAAACAAGGTAAATGGAAAGAAAGCAAAGGCATCTTCAAAAGGGGTAAGAAACAAACACTCAAAGAAAGGGTAACAAATAGAACCTGGGCCATGCTCATAGGTGTTCGAGGATGCCCTTTTGCATCCACACATGAAGTCTGCTCGCTCCGAGTAGATTCGCTCTGGTGCGCTCTAGTCCGAGTCAAATCTGACCCAATTGAGTGCAGTCCACCATACACTGACGCTTCAGGTAATCTGATATGGTTTACACCTATCAATAAAAAACTTAAAAGTTAACCCAAATTAATAATTTAATACATAAGAGCCTAGCATTAGGCTGCTTAGTTGGGGTTATTATTAGGTCATAGATTATGTAACAAAATTATGGATGATAACAGAGGCAAATTTGACAATACAATATTAGCAAAAGGAAGTAGAGAGTGGCTTCTTACCCTTTTCAAAGGCCTCCATATTATTGGATTCAGATGCTGGCCCATTTTTTACCGCTCCCTAACCATATCCATAAGGGAAAATGTTAACAAGGAGTTTCATATACATTTGCCAAAAAAAAGAAAAAGCTTTATACAAATATGTATGTATTTACCAATATATGCTATATACTTGCATAATCCTTGTGTATGTATGAGTCTTTGGACATGAGATTATAAAGTACAAGACTGAAACACAGTTGAAATAGAGAGATTTTCTTACAGATGGTTGAATGTCGAGAGCTTTCTTGATTTCCAAAAGCTTCTTATCAGTTGACTCTGAGTGGATAACACGCTTGCCTGCAATAACTGAGATTGGTTAAATTGAATTCGCAGATACATATGACAAATGCAACTTTAAATTTTTGAAAGGATTTAATTATTAATTTATATCTGACTATTACTTCATATAACTGAGGGATCAATTTACCCATTCTAGATTCTCTAGGATCTAGAACAGATGGTCAAGATCCCAAGATAGCATTAAATATGCAAATTTTCATGCAACAAGATACACACTGACTAAAGTTAAAACTATAAGGAGCAATCAAATTACCTAGCCTTCTAAAAGCCCTGCCTTCAATAAATCCCTCAACTATTACTTCATATAATTGAGGGATCAATTTACCCATTCTAGATGCTCTAGGATCTAGAACAGATGATCAAGATCCCACGATAGCATTAAATATGCAAATTTTCATGCAACAAGATACACACTGACTAAAGTTAAAACTATAAGGAGCAATGAAATTACCTAGCCTTCTTAAAGCCTTGCCTTCAATAAATCCATCCTGGGCCATTTTATCAATCAGCTTGCGAACAGTGGTCTGGTTTGCTTGGCCATCTAGCTTGCTCTGAAGCTTTGCTACTGTGACATAGTCCATGGGTAGAGCATGATACAAGGCCTAAAATAAACCAATAGTATAATCAGCAACCAAAGATTAACATCTGTTTCTCTTAAAAACTAAAGCTTGATACATATCTTTTATCTTTTTTGTGGGTCAGTAAGTGCTGTGCCAAATATTCATAAGAGGTTTTCCACCCGAATACTCAGTCCTTAAACGGGCATTTCTGAACTTTTAAAATTCTTCAAATTTCTATAATATGGCTGTAATTGTCTCATTCCAAAGAGTCAACAACTTAGCCAAAAGTTTTAACTCCCATAAGCTTAAACATACATAATCCAACATTCTAATGGATTTTACTAACATTTTCACATAGACTGACCTTAGATAAAGTCCTCTAACATATCATAATGATAATTACCACTGCCATGGGGTTTTGGTAGGACAGCTTATAGCTCTTTATTGAGGGAAAATACTAAGGAACTCTCTTTGCTAACATAATCCAACATTCTAATGGACTTTACTAATATTTTCACATAGACTGACCTTTCATAAAGTCCTATAACACATCATAATGATAATTACCATTGCTATGGGGTTTTGATACGACGATTAATAGCTCCTTATTGATGCAAAATGCTAAGGTGCCCACTTTGCCAGGAGGTTTCGGTGGGCAAGCATTCACACATTTAAGATGCTAATCAAGGGCATAAACCCATTTAAGCTCAACAAAGGCCATCCTAAGTTGTTCTTTTCGCAAATGGCCCAAGCAAATGAGACCCACAATTTAAGCAAAAGTAATTTGCACTAAATTACAATGATATCTTACTTCTAAACACTGAAGATGCCTGTAAAGAACTATAATATGTTCGTTAGCAAATTCCATTCAGTAAAAATCAGCATATTAAAACGTCTCTCTAAAAAGGATTTATCTCAAAAGATCTTTTTGCATTGCTTGGTGACTAACCTTCATATACATGTGATCTTCCTCAGGCTCATTTTTTCCTTTTGCAGCACTCTGGTTTCCAGGCAAGTCCCTCTCTTCTTTAACAAGGAACAAATTGGAATCGGGTCTCTGAAGTTTCAGTAAACTTTTGTGTCAGGCAAATAAGCTGAAGAATGTGTGCAATGATAGTTAACCACTGATTTTCTCACCTTTTGCCTGTTAATTGTGTAAGCATCTCTTCCAGTTTTGGTTAGAAGCCCTTCCTTTAACAGCTTGTCCATGATCTCTGTCATTTCATTGCACCAAGAAAGAGCTCACAGCTTGAGTATAAAGTTCAAAAATCTTGGGAAATAGTTCACACTCATACACAGAGAGAGCATGACAAAAACCCGAAAGAGTAATGTGTAGTCAGTTGTGTAGTGGACTGGTTCCTCTGTAGAAGGGAGGCAATTAGAGAAAGTTATTACCTTCGGTTAAAACCTGCATATATACATAATTGACAATTAGCATTACTGAATGAAACTTCAGAAGAATAGTTTGGAGAAACCACAGAGAGAGAGAGAGAGAGAGAGAGTGAGAGAGAGGAAGTCTCTTACCAGTGATATTTCAGGGAAATTTGATAGGACATCGGTCATATCAACAGTATCCGTGTGTCTGGAGAGGATCCACTCTCTTACACGAGAAGTGTTTTCTCCTTCCTCTGCAGCATCTTGAGTATCATCTGCAAACACCACAGCAGTGTGCTAGTTCAGCCTGTACCTAAAAGCTACGACTCTAAAGCAAGCAGAGAAAGAAAATACTCCTTCATAGAGTGTCCAAATTTCTAGAGTTAACAAATTTTGAACAAAGAAGCTTTTTTTAATGGATTTCTGTTGGGTTTGGAGCAAATTTCAACAAAGTAATATTAGCACAAATGGTGGAAAGCAAAACCCTGAACATTTATGATATCTTTTTCCTCTAACACATTCTCTCATAATGGCGGAGAAAGACAAAGTAAAAACGTAAAATAAAAAGAGCTTACCTTCTTGAACCATAGGATCATCTTCATCACGTCTTTGGATCGGCATTTCAGCACCTTTTGAAATTGGACTATGTTAGCTCGTAAAAATACAATTATGAGGATTCTATATCTTGAAACATACAGCACATTGGTACGCTATGCAACAACTAAACCATACATCCCAAAAATAAATCAATTTAGATACTGTGGCATACATGTCTGGTCAGTCGATACTATTTGTAACCATTAAGTTTGGAAATGGATAGATTCTATATGCTATATTTTCATACAATGTACCACAGTTTCCATTATCAGGAGACTAATTCATGTCGCAGTTGAATGAAGGGAACATACGAATTGGTGCAACGATGAATTGGTCTTGTTGTGAATGATCAACCTGAAAGGCACACAAGGAAGAATATATTAAATTATTGTACTGTTTTTTTTAAAGATATAATATTCTTATTTTCCCCGTGTTGACGATTGCTTATCATAATTAAAGAACAAAACAACAAAAAAGAGACAATACGCATGGGAAAGTATATAAACCCACATGACCATAAAAACTCTTTTAAGTTTTGTTACCATCCAATCCATTGGTCATTTCAAGAGAAATGACATGCAAAAAAAAGTATATGATGGTCCATAAGATCATAAAAAATCTATGGCCATGACTGTTATATCCAGGAATAAGTGGGTGGACAGCCATGGAGAAACACAAGGCACACAGACACAAAGAATGACCCAGTTGTACGTCATACTCTTACTCCATCACCGCCCATCCATTGATTAGAGGGTGATGACACTCATGACCGTAATTTTACATGGTCATACGGATCGTACTGCACTTTCCCTATCGGCCAACATCGGTGTATCTATATTGGTGGAAACTAGACAGCATGAGGTACTATTTAAAATGCAAAAACATGATGCATAGCCGTCTTAGCTCAGCCGGTAGAGCGCATGGCTTTTAACCATGTGGTCGTGGGTTCGATTCCCACAGACGGCGATATTAACAGTTATTAAATCTTAAGCACTCAAACCTTGCCTTTGAGTTTTTACTTAATGTAATGTTAAGTAAAAATTTTTGCCCCAACCCCGCTTTTTTAATCCTGTTTATAATCGACTTGGATTCTGAGCTACTTAATACTACTAGAACATCTATATCAAGGAGAAATTAACTATGGGTCCATGGATTTTCGCCATTTCTTTATTTATGTCAATTTCTGGTACATATTTCTTCTCCCTTCGCCTGGATTTCTCGATCGTAATCAAATTGGGTCTGAGTCACTCAGGATTTCCACTAAGGAAAATTCCTTATAGTCTCTTTCTGGTATTCCCTGTTTTCCTTTGCAGTGTGGCCGATGAAGAGTTTACCTCACTATCAGTAGAGGAAGAGTCATCGCTCTTATCCTCATCGGAGTCCGCCATCAAGCTGGCTGCATCGTCCTCCTGAACATCTTCGTTCTCGTCCTCACAAGGATCAAGGATGCTCTTCACCTGCAACACCAAAATTCATCCAAAACAGATCCCTCAATTATATAGACCGAGTGCGATTTGGGTTTGAGGTGTGTGTGTTTGAGAGAGAGTCTTGTACCTTTAATGCGAGCATGAAATGCTTGCTATTGACGTTCCCAACCTCCATTTTAAGAGGATTCTTTGTCCATGAATTCCTAGCTTCTTGCTCCAAGCAGCCTCGGAAAAATGGGGGCTCATAATCCATGGGCTGCAAGTTTCTCCTCTCCGTAAGCAAATGCCATCATTAGAGGAAACACACGAGGTTACCACTTAGAGAGAGAATACGTACTGTCACATCGTCGTAATACAGGAGCTTCATCAAAATAGTTCGCTGGAAAAATAACCATCGACAATCTCTCAATGGTATCTCTTTAAAAATCCGTATTAGGTTTTGATGTGCGCGTGTGAGAGAGAGAGACTTTACCTCAGCTGGCATGCGGTCAAGGGTTCTCATCAACTGAACCAAAGTTCGAACCATCTTGCAAGCAGAGCTCCTGCAAACAATTTAAATCAATAAATAGGAAAAAGCTTAAAAACATGAAAGCCCCCAAAAAAACACATCTTCTAATGTTATTTTTTGACTTCAGTGTTCATATAAAATTAAAATTGCTCGACCAAACAACACGCCGCACATTCCAGGGAGTCTCAAGGGAGCAATTTCACAATCATCGTCAGGCCCAAAACTTTTTTTTTTTTTTGTTTGGGTAAAGTATTATGGGAATGAAAACCACAATGCTTTTTTTTTTTGTTTGGGTAAAGTATCATGGGAATGAAAACCACAATGCGGTGATTAGAGTGTGGGATTGTTTTTTTTTTTTTGGGTGGTGAAGGGGGGGTAAGGTATCATGGGAATGGAATGATGACTAGGGTGTAGAGTTGCTTTCATTGTATTTAATCCCTCCCCACCTCTTCTATGAATTTTATTAACTTGGACGTAGCGAATCTATTAGCATGTGCTCAAGACTCTAAAAAGGGCCGAAACTCCAATAATGTTATAAAAAAAAAAAAAAGGCCCAAATTCCAAGTTTATAAAGGGAACATAACATTAATTCTTTTATCTCTTTATGCATTAAAATTTAAATAATAAAATTTATCAAAATATCCTCATAAATGAATTATTCAATATTTTACCTATTTGCATCTATTCGAACTTGAGACCATGTTCTTTTTACAGGTGTTTTTGAATTACAACAAAAAAAAATATTATTATAGTGTTAAATTGTTCATCTCGTATAGTTAATCTAATAAATTTCCCAATTAAAAATGATTACCTTGGGTTAAACCTTTTTCCATGTACAATCCAGAGATATCTGTTAGTAGCACTTACCAATGTTTCTCTAGAGTAAAAATTAGGGGCTACAAAAGAAAAAGAAAATTTGCTTGATGAAAACAAATTTGTGAGTTGGCCCACTTGTGCGTCCACTCTGATTTTAGAAGGAAAGGACTCAAACAAATCTTAAATCAGTGTAAACTTATTTCTACCTTAGATTCGTGAAGGTCCAAAAATATTAAACATCGGATGAAAGAATAAATTCAAAATGCATGGTCCAAGAACTAGAACAAAGGGCAAGGGCTGGGGCCTTGGAGGTAGTTTTCCATGATGAGGTCTATGACTCCATTATAAACAAAAGGCAGGGGCACAAAAAATCCCCGTTGACTTACCACCAATTTACAAGAAAAGAGCCTGGTCTTAATTGGTTAGCGTTAGACGATTTGTAACGCTATGTCCTAGGCTCAATTCCTATCATGCCTATCATGGCTATCATGGTTTGACGATTTGCAAAGCTATGTCCTAGGCTCAATTCCTGTCATGGTAGAGGCCTTCACCCTACTAACTTACCCAAAAAACAAAAAAGAACAAAATAAACTATTTTTTAATCTCAAAATTATTCTTTTTACATTTATTATTATGGTAGTGTACATGTCAAACCTAATTTTTTTATCCAAAATTCATCTTGAGACCTAATTTTATATCCAAAATACTTCTCCAAGACACGTTACATTTATTATTATGGTAGTGTACATGTCAAACCTAATTTTTTATCCAAAATTGATCTTTAGACCTAATTTTATATCCAAAATACTTCTCCAAGACACGTTATAGGAGGCTAAAGTCCTTGGTGCGCCAAGATTCGACCCACAAGAAAAAGTTGGAAAGGAACCGTGAATTTTACTTTTGCTTTAAATTTAACGGGGTCATAACGTCCTAGTGAGGGCGTCATTGGTCATTTTTGCTTGCACTGTATACCAAACAATATTTAAGAAAATATTTTAAGAGCACCTATGCTATGCTTTCTCAAAAGCATAGTTTATTTTCACTCTCTTGGTGACTAAGGAGGATTTTTTTTAAATGATTATTCTAAAAAAAATTGAAATTTGACTTTTCCGACACTTATTTTCACCATCTAAAAATTGGATGTTCTCTATTTAATCTCAAAAAATTTTATTTTTTATGGGCGTAGAAGGGTGCAATTAGGATATATATATATTGAGATTAATCTATGGGAAGAAGTTACATCCTCAAAATTTAGGGCCCTAAAATTATTTTTAGGTGGGCTTTTGCTCGAGGGAGTAAACAGACATTCTACTCCTGTGGGTGTAGAACATTTTTTGGCATATTTTAAACTGGTAAATAAACTCAAGAAAGTGAACTGTACACCATGAGAGCATAATAAAGAATTGTGCATCGCAGGTTTCAACCATTCGTGAAGGTGAAATGTATTATCTCCACCACCTACATTGATGACGGACGGTGGATATCGTCCTCGTCCATACTATATACGGTATTATACTATACTTTCCATATAGCGAAGAGTCAAAGCAACCACCTCAGTATAAGCATCGTTTTAGTGTCAAATGTACTATCCGAAACCAAAAAGGTCGTCAATTAAGAAGGGAAGAGAAGGGAAAGGGGACCTCATTTGATTTGGAGTAATCTCGTTGTTATTAGCTTTGAAAGTAGCTCCCTGCTTTTTGTTTCCACTACGATTAACGTTCATGGAAACTTCATCTGAATCAGAGTCTGAATAACTGAAGGAAACTGCAAGCAGTTTTTTATACCGCAAAATGTTACTCGAAAAAGGACCGTAAGCCTAAACATCAGCAGAAAATGGAATCATACCCAGAAAACTCTCTCTCTCTCTCTCGCTCTCTCATACTTTCAGAGTATAATTTTGGACTTACATGCATACTCCTCGATCATGGGACCATCTATCTCTTCACAGATACAGAACAGGAGCGTTTTAAGATATTTCTTTTGCAACGCATCATAAACACCTAAAATTAACCATGAAAACCTCCGATTTATTAGACTTTTTTTTTTTTTACAGAAACAACACCTTAAAACCTTTGGGACCACCATGAAAGAAACTCCCATCCCTAAATATGCTTTAACAAAAACCAAAGTCACCAATCGGGAAAAAGAAACAGGCTACAATGCTTTTAAGTTTTAACTTTCACCTTTTTCCATCCAGTCAATGAGCCTTCTAGACTCAGCATCCATAGGCATGAGCTTCTTAATCTTCATTTCTGTTGAAAGATGACACTCACTCAAAATGTAAACCCACTGTTTAATAACTGGGTACTAAAATCTATGTAATGTGAGTTAATCGCTGAGTTCTTAGCATATCAAAACCATATGCCAGTTAACAAATAGTACTAGTCATGATTACCTATATTCTGACATTTTCAGCCTAAATTTGGGAGAACTGTAAACAATAATGAATCAAGCTTGAAATTGCCGATCAGCTGATTCTTAGAATTCTATAAACCCTTCTTGTAATCCAAATTCAAGTAAATTGAGCTTAGAAGACCAGGGAATTTGCTCACAAATAACATTCATTCATAAGGATTTGGTAGTTGAGAACTGACCTAGAGCAGGAACAGATTTGTCATTGAAATATTTCTCAGGGAAAAGGCCTCTGATGTAACTGATGTTGAATATGGCAATTCGAAGCAGATTTCTTGTCTGGTCAACAGAAAACAGAGACAAAGCAAAATATACAGATATTCACAGAGTTAAAACTTAAAAGAAAAGAAAACTAGTTCAATTGATACAATTACTCAGAAAATGCGAATGGTTTTGAACAGAGAAGATATCTCATCAATCAATCAGAAATAGAAACCAGAAAAACATAAGTCTATATGCTTTGCCTCTAATATAAACGGAAACAGAGTGTAACAGAGAAGATTTCTCATCTATTTATCAAAGGAAAAAAAAAATGGAAAACCTATTTTTAGATGTTTCCCTTCAAGTAAACAGAAACCAAAGCTTAACAGATATATTTCTCAATTATTCATCAGAAACGAAAACCAGGAAACCTATTCCAATAAGTTTTCCTCCGAGGAAACAGAAAAGGAAGCTTCTGAGACAATCTGAAGCTGTACAAAATAATCTGATCTGAGAAGACTTCAATATAAAGTAAGATGCTAATATTTATGTTTTAAACGTTACATTCAAATCCAGAACAGATTTCTGATAATTTCACTAGTAATAAACACTAATGAAAGATAATTCCATGGAAATTTACATAAATAAAAAGAAAATAAAACTCTGATGAGATCAGTAGCTGTGTAATGGCACCTGATCAGAGACAGAGAGAGAGAGAGAGAGAGAGAGAGAGAGAGAGAGAGAGAGAGAGAGAGAGAGAGAGAGAGAGAGAGAGAGAGAGTAGAGTAGAGTAGAGTAGTAGTAGTAGTAAGTAAGTAAGTAAGTAAGTAAGTAAGTAACGTAAGTAAGTAACGTAAGTAACGTAAGTACGTAACGT